TTAAAAAAAGGAACGCAATCCGATTGTCTTTAAATGGATCTATTCACAATCACTTTAGTACACATATATGATGTTTTAGCTACTGTTTAGAGTAACAAAACTAATGCTTCCTTTATGCACACATACATACACACACACATACACACACACACATTACTAATTTTAGATCAATTGATATTGATATGCTACTACCTTTCTTAATTTCAATTTTTTTAAAATGATAGTACATAACATAATAATTTTGGTAGCCTTAGGATGATTTCAATATAGTGCCACTAGTTTTTTCTTGGTAGCAAGAAGATATAAAAGAAATGCGTTTTAGAATTTTAGACACAAGACCAATTTTTGGACTTTTATGCTCCAAACATGTCGAATTAACAAAACAAGAATTAACAACCACACAAGCTATTTTTTTGGACAGATTCAAGAAGAACAAACAAGTTTTTTTTTTTTAATTAGATATCTCAAATTGGAAGGAATTGAGATTAATTAAAAAAAAAAAGAGAAAAGATCTTGAATGGAAATTGAGCTTTAATACCAAAAAATGTGAACCCATCTAGCTTGATGGTTAGAGAACCCACGAGATAAGATGATTGAGCCTTAGAAAAGCCAAATCGATTCAAAAAGGTATAGATGCCACATTTCGGAATAATTAGATGAGGAGTGATAAATCACTTGAACACCATAAGAATCGATTAGATTCTTGATAAGTTTTGAATTAGTTCTTGGAAGAACTTAGGTGTGAATTTGACACAAAACAATTATTTGATTCAAAAAATTGTATATCCAAAAATTACATAATGTTTTGTCTAAGTAGGATGCTTGGAAAATTCAGAATAACAAAGAATTAAGGTATATTTAAGATCCAATAAAATGCCATAATTGGAACAATTACTAAACATTGATTAAGCCTTACTTGAAGTTGGTAGCAACACTTTGAATTTGGCGACCATAAATAAGGTCCGAGTACTTGATACAAATCTAACTTGAAAATTGATGCAATTTCGACTTTAAACCAAATTAATTTGTTAACATTAGCAATGCTATTCTCAACCCAAAACATCAAAATAGATGGATCAACTTTGACTCAATAGAGATTGGACTTCAAGTCCGGTATGTTTGGCCCAATGGTTTGGATAAAATTCACCAAGCCCATTTAATGATCTTTTAGCCCTTTGATAGTGAATTTAGCCTACTTGCTTTGAATAAGCCCATGCAAGGCTTCATGGATCCTCTTAACCTTAGCCTTTGTGATTAGGCCTTTTAGAACGGCCAATGGTTCGACCTCCTCAATCTCAAGCCCATGGTCGGCTCCTCCAGCATTTGGATTCTCATTATTGATCCTCAACTATGAATTCTCACCAAAACTTGATCGAGATTCCTATCTATTTTGTGATGATCTTAGCAAATATCATAGCCTTATTAGGTGCTTGCTTTATCTCACTATCACATGTTTAGACATTAGTTATATAGTTCATATTCCAAGTTAGTTCATGCATTAGCCATGATAGCCTTACTTTGATGCTACACTTTGAGTTCTTTGTTATCTTAAAAGTACACCTATGGAGTGAAGGATCATGCATCCTGTAAAGGTGTGGAATAAAATAAAAATTTCTTCCATCTAAAGGATCCAAGATCATGCCATTGAACCAACTAATCATATATTCATTAATTAAAGTGATGAACGAGAGAATTCACCTTTTGTAGCATAGATATAAACCTTTACGGAAAAGAGACATCTAAGTGTCCGGCCTTTATCGATAATCCACATAGTTCAAACGCCCACAAAAGAAGTATTCAAAATTAATAGAATGCTAGCTCCATCTTTTCTTACTTTTTTAGTGTTTCCTATAGAAATCTAATCGAGTAATTTTGTGGCAACCTAAAGAGAGAGAAGAAAGGTGGTGTGCCGGGGTTAGGGAGAAAACAATTTTCTCTTAGCTTTTATTTTAAGCCGTGTGTCCCTATTATTTTATGTGTGTCCAATCTTTCCTCTCTTTTTTCGCATACCTTTATTGCCACACCTCTCCTCTTATTTATAAGGGGAGAATTTTCTTGTCCTCCAAGAATAAGGAGAGGGAGTAGCAACTAGTCCTTATTAGACTCTTGATTGTTGCTTTATAATCCTCTAAGGATTAAGAGTTATTTAACATGTGAGCTTTTGATCTTTATTTATAAAACATTCATCCTTATCTAATAAGGTTCATATTTATCTTCCCATCAAAATATCTTTTTGGTTTTTAATTAAACCTATTGGCCCAAAACCATTTTGGCCCAATTAATTAATTTAGACTATCCAAATAAATTAAGTTAGATAATTTTAGGTGACCCATATTTGAAAATAATTTTCTAAAAAAATACCCTTAAACCTAAATTAGGAAATTTATTTCTATTTTAGGTTATTTACTTCCAAATTTGGCACTAGGAACTGATTTTTAAAATAGAAAATTTTTTATTTTAGGAAACTTTTATTTTAGGAAAAATTCATAATTGGAAACCTTTTCCAACATCTTTGCTTCTCTTTAATCATGTGAATGCTTAAACTTATGTGTGATTCAATAAGCTCCTAGATATATTGACAATGTATCAAGAATAAAAGAGACCTCTTTTATCTCTTGAAACATAAGTCAAGATTGACCTCTAGTAAGGCATCATGACTATTTAATTCTCTATGAGGATTAACCGATTCGTAAATTACCTTTCACTACATGGTTACCATACAATTCAGTATTTATGTTAACTTATCATAGTGTGATCTCCAACTTGATTATTAGTCTTGTTTGATTATGACCATATAAGTTTTTTTCAATTCCCAAATGTCTTAGCTCGTAGAGTAAACCAACTACGCTCTATTGGTGTACTCCTACTATAATCATAGATTTCTTGAGCAAACATTCATCGAAGTGCAATGCGATAACTCCTTTAGCATACAAGGAATGACATATCCTATCTCGGTCATTTGCCTTCCTCCATTAGATTTCTAGTACATCCAATGAATCATCCACTTGTAACCCTTTACTAGGTCTATCAAATCGAGTGTCAAAGTACATAAATCTTTTAATGAGATGACTATGATGGCTTTAAGTCTAAAGACTAGTCATACTCATCTTGCATGAGATTCTCATAGACTAAACCAAATGAATTCTCATTGTGAGTCAAGTCTAGTGATACGTTCTCTAACATAAATTACCTAAGTGCTTGTTTTGGCATCACCATGTCAATAAGTGTGAGATTTTCTATTGCTATCATATAGCGTGAGCATAACACTCACAAGTATAACCGCATCTAGTCAATGTCCATTTTTGACAATGCAACGATTTGGGACATTTAATGATATCATTTATGCACATTATTGTTTGTTTTACGGTTTTCGCTCAATCACTATTGCAAATGCATATCATAAAGACTTCTATCCAATTTTATTGAATTAATGAACATAAAACATAAGAATTAATATAAAGACTTCTTTATTATTAATAAAATAAATAATACAATAATTTAAACTTATCCAAATATGGTTGGATCTTGAGGACCTACACTAACAAGGAGACCACTTTTTTTTTTTTTTTTTTGCCTTTTAATAATTCATTGACACTAAGGGGCTATTGTGAAGCCGATTGGGCTAGATATTCTATTACTCGTCAATCTAATATTAGGTACATTGATTTTCTTGGCCTTTCTTCGATTTCTTAGCAATTTACTAAACAATCTATTGTCTCTCACTTCATACTTGAAGTAGAATATAGGGCTACCACAACCACAACTAGTAAGATAGTTTGGCTTTTTTGTCTACTCTCAAATTTGGGAGTTACCCATTCCAATTCTATTTTCTTATTTTATGATAATCAAGTTGCACTTCAATCGTCATCAATCTTATCTATTATAAGCACACTAAGTATATTGAGATCAATTGTCATTTTATTCGACAACATATTCGATCGAACATTTTATTACCTTATTCTAACTCTTTTTATTGTCAATTAGTATACATCTTCACAAAGGCTTTTTGTTTGGACTTGTTTTTAGACTTTTTAGACAAGTTGGATATTTTTAGTTTACATGCTACAAGTAGAGGGAGAGTAAAACAGATTATTTAAAAAATATTATATTGTAATATTTTTTAATACCTTTATATATATAAAAGCTAGTTCATTCATAGGATTATTGAAACTAATTTAATGTTTAGGGATTCAAACTAGTATTAATTATATAAATCCCCTTCTTTTTGTAAGAATATGCTTTTTTTGTTTTATAGGCATTTAATCTGATGATTAGTTTTACGAGTCAACAAGCAACCACAATGGTAAAATATTTCCCAAACCCTAATTTAGTAACACTAAAGTGGCCATGCCAATTTGAAAAATGGCATAAGTTAACTATTACTTAGTCCCTCATAGTTTATTAAAGTAAATTAATTAATTAATATATAAAAAATTATTAAATAATCTATTAATTAATATTGATCGTACTTAATTTAATAGTATTTTATATCATAAAAATACCCTTTTTTTCCCTAATCAATTTCCCATCCTAACTACTTCTTCTTTTCTTTCTTTTTTTTTCCCTCTCTTTCTCAAAAGAAAAAATCAAAATAAATTGGAAAGAGACATGAAATACAGGAAAATGATTAAGTTATAAATGAATTTTAAAATATATTGACTAAATGTATACTTTCTGAAACGATAAGAACTAATTAACTCGGGGGACCAAGTTATCCTTGACAATAATTCAACCAGCCCAATATCCAAATCTTCAATAAAAGACAACTCAGAAGAAAAAGAAAGAAAATCAGAAACAAAGAGAAGCGGGAAAAAAGTCATCGAAAATTTTGAATTCTCAAATGGCTAAATCTCTCACACTCTTTGATTTTCTCACACTTTCTCTCTAATTTCCCTGGCAAACAAAATTTCCCAACTTTTCACTTGTGCCCTTTTCCAAATCCCAAAACCTTAGCGTTACCAAAAAGCCCCAAATGAACTCTTCAATTATTATTCGAAAAAATGATTGACAACAAAAAAGAAGAACCAAGCAAGTACCACACAGTACAAGCACAGCGTGATCTAGAAGCCAATTGGGAAGTAGATCTTTCGAAAAAGCTTCAAGATTACTTATTAAAGATTTGTTCTGGTGAAATTGCTGGAAACGAAGAGGATAGTAACTTCAATTTCGCTGAAGGTTAGGGTTTTATTGAAATATATATATATTTTTTGGCTTGTTAAGAATGTAGTTGCTTCATTGCTCAAAGGTTTGGGGTTTATTTATATTATTTTTGTTTTTAGGGTTCTGTTGTGGGGGATTTTAATGGGTTTTTGTTTTCGTGGCCAAATGTAGCTGCTTTATTGCTTCAAGGTTCAGTTCAAGTTTATAGCAGGAAGGTTGAGTATGTATACAACTTGGTTTTGCATGCTTTGGATTTCCTTTCTCAAAAAAGGTATTTTTTTAACCGATTTTTTTGGGTTTTGATTGTTTTTTAAGTTCCTTTTCAATGCGAAATTGATTTTGTTGAAGAATTTGTTTGTGTAAATTCCTTTGTTGATAGTTTAGGTGATAATCATTTGGTTCAATTGGAAAATATGGTGGTTTGTTCAAACTTACCTTTTTTCAGGATAAGTAAGTATTTCATAATTTTGTCGCTATGATTGATTGCTCTTAGAAGTTTAAGAATCTTGAGAGTTTGTGTATGATATGTATAGTTGCCACATTCCGTTGTCTTTTTTTAAAGTGTTCCACTGCTTGAAATAGAGATAGAGATAGAGATAGAGAATAGGGCTATCGGTCGAGAGAGGACAGAAAATGTATTCAATTCTCACCTTTTTGATCGAGCTGGGATGTTGAAGCGCGGTTATATGTTGCCATCTTTTAATAAAGATTTGCTAGGCTGTACTGTGTATTCAGTTAATGGCCATGCATTCTAAAGTTGCTAATAGACAGTTTAACACATTGAATGTGAGTTTTATAGATAGATTTGGAACAGTCAATTGCAAAACACAGCTCATTTTGTCAGGGAAACTATTAATTGTCATGGAACACAGGGATCATTAGAAATTCACCAATTAGAGGTGCTTTAATATAATCTTTCCCATAACTTCTCACATCAGACCAACCCACTAAAATTTGACTACGGATTGCAAATGAGGTCAATGTCATGAAGAATTCAGAGACATGACCTATACCCAAATAAAAATTTATATTTTCACAGGAAAGCCATTGAAGGATTATAGTGAGCAGTCTTGAAGCCCAAACGATGTGTGGTATCATCCCATGAAATGGTTTTTCGATTGTTCATATATATATATATATATTTGAAACAGGCAGCAGGAGCAATCAGAGGGTGTGTTTGTCCAGCCTGAACTAAGTGGTTCCCATGCAGTTTCAAATGAAGAAAATGATCGATTTTGGGTCTCAGATGATGTCCCAGGTAGGCTTAACTCTGCCCTCTCTTTGATGAAGTTATGATGGAACTCCTGGCTTAAAAAATCACTTTGCTGCAGTGGAAGCAAGAAATTGCTTAGATGCTTCAACCAGCAAACATGCTTCTTTCTATCACTATGTGAAACCCCCAGCAAATCTTGTTGTTCTTGAAGGTGATTGCTTAGATAACAGCGGTGATGGCGGGGAATTAGAGTCATATCTGGTATTACATGTACTCCCACATTTTAATATATTGGTCTTTATGCTACTGACCCAATCTAAATTACTTGTTTTTGTCTACATGGTTGCAGTTAGCCACCAATGATCTTTACCAAGATTTTATTCTCTTAGACCCATGTGATGCCATAGCTGTAAATGATTTTTTGAAAGCAGATGATTCTGGAAAGGCAGAAAATGGTCCTTATATGGGCAGCTCAAAATGCAAGACCTTTCAGTCCCTGACAAGGCATTCTGGGGGAACTGCTCATAAGCCTTTTCTTGGAAGGAATTGGGATGCCAATCCCATGCTGTCCCCCATTGCTGGTTGCAGTTTTGGAGTTAATGATTATAAGATTGGGCTTGATCCTCCTGTCCAAGATAATTTTGACAAGAATCATGGATTTGATATGGAAGACAGATATTCAGAACCTGATAATGCAGAAGATTCAGATGACAACGACGATAATGATCCCTGGAAGCCTCTGAATCCCCATGAACCTGGGAACTTAAAAGTGAAACCTTTTAAGAAAGGTTGTAAAGAATTTGCTTCTGTTTTTTTCCCCTCAGTTTCCTGTAGTATGTTATGCGCCTACTTCACTAATATTGGATTTCTCTTAACAAGCAGTAAAAGCTTTCAGAAGGAATGGGCTAAAATCTGCTAAGAAGACCGCTGTAACTACTCTGTTTCCACTTGCAAGGATGCATGGCACTATTAGTCCAGATCTCACAGAAATGTGGGAAGCACGGCACAATGAACTTGGAAAACATGGGAACACACAATCTCTTACCTTGTATGAAAAGGTATTTTTTTTTTCTAATAATGTATGAACCTTAATTTCTTGTGATTGTCATATCATACCTGATGCTCCAATTGCAGCTTAGGCAATCTCTTACTAATGAAGGACATAATATTCCTGATACTTTTGGTAACTTTGGGAATGGCAACGAAGACAATGCATATGACGCTGGAATCCCTGATTTTGGGCAGCCTGATGATGAGATTCCAGAATACATGGATGAAGATTTACCCCCTCCACATAGAAAGGTTGACAGGCTTGTGTTTTTCTTCTAGTTTGTATCTGCAACGGTATAGAAGGAACTTTAGGTTGCTTATTGATTAATTTACACAGCATGATGATGGCACTACTCACTTTGACACCTATAAAGAATTTGGACACAGAGATCAAAGTTCTCAAGCAAGCCTAGAAGATCTATGTCGTTCTCACCTTGTAAGCTTACATTTCTATCACTTTTTGAATATATCTATCTAGTTCATGGTAATAGAACATGCACACATATACTCACAAATTTGTTTTATGGAGCTTAGGTGAAATTTCTTTTCAGGCTAAAGTTAAGACTTTTCTACTTGTCCAAAAATTTCCGTAACTTATTGAATGTTTCTGGAACATGTATTCTATTTAGAAGGGTAACAATCTATACCGTCCCTGTGCTATAAATAAACTTAAGTGTTAATTGGGTCTTTGTACTGAATCAATTTGTTTAACTCTCTGTTAATGATTTTGCAAACAACGTTAAGTAAATTGCATAATGAAGCAACACTTTGACATTGTTGACTCTATGAGTTTTTTTTCCCCTGCTTTTGAAATTACAATAATAATAATAATAAATAAATAAAGACGACAGGTAGTTTTAAAGTGAAGGGATATTTTTTTCTATAATTTCAATAAATGCTTTCTGTAAAAAAAAAAGAAGGAAAGAAAAACTAACTAACATGGTCAACAAGGTCAAGAGATGTGTTGCTTGATTATGCGATTTACTTGAATGTTGTTAGCAAAATCACGGTTCACATTAGACAAAATGATTCAGTATAGGGATCCAGGTAACACTTAAGTTGGTATAGGGACCTAATTAGCACTTAAGTTGGTACAGGGATGGTATGAATAGCTATACCCCTTTTTGAAAGTAGTCTGTAAAAGCTTGCTTTACCATATGTATTCCTTCCACAAGCTCCTTATTTTTGTCCTGATAAGCAAGATGAACAAGTTCTGCTCTCTTTGCAGTTCTTTTACACACAATCCTCTGCATGTGCTTACAGCAATTTCTGAAACTTTGCTTTCATCAGTGTAGATTTGTGCGCTTTGCTGGTTTCTCGATTCATTTAAAATTCTCAGGACATGCAAGCCTAGTTTTAAAGCAATGTTTTAGATAATGTAGCAGTTGAATTACGGAGATCAACCTGGTCCCAAAAATTTTGGAATTGATTGTGTTTTCTTGGGTATAATCTTTTGCCAAATTATTGCCTGAGTAAGTTTTAGCTTACCCACATTTTTTTATGTAGGATGCTCTCCTTGCCAATATAGCTGAAACTGAGAAGCAAACTGAATTGGCTGCTCGGGTTTCATCATGGAAACAGAAAATTGAGCAAAACTTGGAAGAACAAGTAACTTCATCTCTTTGCTCTCCACATATTATCCAATTTTCAATTTTGTAACTAAAACCATCATTTGTATTTGTTGTTGCTGTTCTTTATTTGCTCAAATCGTTTTACTGGCTTGAATTGAAGGTGAATTTTGTTTCTAATAGGACTCAAATCCGCCGTTTGACATTCATGCCTATGGTGAAATAATTGTTGACAAACTCTCTCTTGAAGTGGAAAGAGAAAGTGTCATGGCCTTTACAGATGTTGTAAAGGGCCAGGAAAAACATGATGTGGCTCGAACCTTCTCTGCGCTTCTTCAGCTGGTAGTTCTCTTATAAGTATTTCACTCTACCAAGCATACTCAGTACCTTAAAGTAGAACAGCTTCTAAAATAAATGGCTAGGACCCTTTAATTTGCAAAGTATAACTGCTCTTGTGATAGGCTACAAGCTCTAAGTTTTTTTTCAATTTTTTTTAAATGACTCTAAATTTCTGTTATTATGTATGAAGTTTGTGTTGGAATCAATCAGTAATATTGGATAATCATGTGAAGTGAAATAGATATGCATTGCTTTTAAATGCTAAAAGATTGCCATGATTCCTCCAATTTCAGGTCAACAATGGAGAAGTTGATTTGGATAGGAGTGAAGCTAATGCTAAGTCATTCTGTTACACGGCTGTCAATCCTTTCCATGTTCGGCTCCTCAGTCGTAAAAAAGAGCAGGAAGGAAGACAATTTCAACTGTCAAAAAAGAGAGATAAATCAGCAATAAGAAAAGGAGTAGTAAAAAAGAACAGGAAGCTTGGGAAGAATGGTGGTACAAGGTGCACGCCTGAAGGTAAGAAGAGGCGACGATCTCGACTTGTGGAACCAGTTGACTTACATTTGGCAGGGTGACAAAGACATCATAAACAAGTTGTACTTCAATGCTGGAGTTATTCAATCCTTGTGCTGAATGGCTTGGTGCATTATTTGTAACTTTGTAGCACTAGAGTATTGACAACGGTCAGATAGAATGTGTAATATTTTTAGTAAGTCACGAAATTTCAGGTCAACCGCCCTTGTAATAACACTACTAATTTGACTGTAGAAAGGTTTTGTTCTTGTGCCATGTAATGATTCCAATTTGCTTACTGTCAATTTTCAAGATGCTTGCAGTGTTATTCTGTTCATGAAGTTTTCGTTATCCTTTTTTCTTTTGGACAACTTTTATTATGCATTGATGATTAGAAAAGCATGCTTGCACAGTTGCGGGTATCTTTTTTATGACATGAAGCAAGATGGAATATTAATAAAATCAAAACAATTGATATTCTGAGGCAATATTACACCAGAAGCTGTAAATGGAAGTTGCCATTTGTGGGACCGCAGCCCAAATTAAATGCTCGAAACTGTGGCAGGCCGAAGCATTAGTGGTGCTGCTTAGGCCTGCCAAAAGTAAAATAGTACTGAAGCCATGTGGATTGGGCCCTTAGACAGGACCCAATCCACATGGCAACGGAATTGTTGTAGTGTTTCTAATTTTTTTTATCCCTAGTTCAATCTTCACTAGGGATAAAATAATTATTCTTGTCCCAACCATACCCCCGCATTAAATAGTGATGGACGGGTATAATGAAAGGTAACTTTCGTTCTTTATATAATAATCAACTACATGAAAGTTATAAAGATTTACATTTATTTTATTGAAAAAAATTATTTTATGTACAATGGTTAAGAATTACTTTACTATAACACTAAAAGATCTGGATAAAGGACTTTGAATAGTAAATCACCATTTCACTACAGCTTAGGTTTTTTTTTTTTTTAACAGTTGAAGGGAAAAGAAAGAGCACCATGCGTACATTCTGTTGCTTAGTTGTAGGACAGTAATTTACTGTTCATTTGAACAGTATATCACTGTTCCACTACAGCTTAAGGGTTTTTTTTTTTTTTTTTTAAGCAATTGAAGGCGAAAGAAAGAACGCCACGCGTACGTTTTGTTGCTTAGTTATAGGACATGTTTTGCAGTCATCATTTGCAAATCATAAGCGAACCGGTTTCAGTCCAGTAGATTAGATCTTTGATTTTTTTTCTCTCCCTGATGACAAAAATAGCTCTTTACATTTTGAAGAAAATAAGAAAACGAAAACTATTCTTTGCTTACTTCAAATTTGTATGATCACAAAATCTTTTAAGGTTTTTTTTTCATCAGCATGATATATTTAGATAAATTTTAAAAATTATATTAAATATTAGACTCAAAGTGTGAATCTTAAAAAAAAAAATCTTTTAACTGTTAGATTCACTTTTTTCACTTTTTGGAATTACATATTTTTTTACTTATAATTCCTTTTTTTCTTATGATAAGATTACAAATAATATAAAAGATAACAAGTATTGGTAATGACTGATAGGGTGAGTCCAGTAGGAACATAGTTGACGCTAGGCTACAAATTTATTTTTGTATTTGCTTTAAATAATTTTCATGTTACAACATTATTATTTTATTTTGCTTTAAATTTTTTTGTGCGATCGTAATTGTTATTTATGAAAATCGAGATTAAGTTTTTTTAGACGATTTTAATAGTGCATTTCTCGATTTTTTTTTAACTTTTAAGTTATTTCATTTTTTATCCTTAAAAATTTAAAATAAAAATTTTAATCCCTTGATCGATGTGCTAGACATGTTCATTTTTTCCTTTGATTTTTTTCTTTATCTTTTTTCATCAATTTATGTTCTTTTTTTTATTTATTTGATTGGGCGTTAAAATTTTGAAAAATCAAATTTTTCTTTGTTTTTTTCATCAATTTATGTTCTTTCTTTTTTTAATTAAGTGTCAAAATTTTGAAAAATCGATGGTAACTTTTTTCACACAAACCGATGATTATATAATATATCTTTTTATGTTTTAAAATTAACATATACTTCGACTTATATTACTCTTATTATTTAAATTTATCATTTCTTTTTTATAAAAAATCTCATCCGAGTTAATAGTTTTTATATGAAATTTTATTTATCGATATTATATAATTTATTTTTCTCTATGTTTGAATTTTAGAATAAATTTTAAAAACATGATTTAAAAAAAATAAATTGGTATAATATATATCATGAATTCTTAAAATTTTTACATGATAGTTGCATATATATATATATATAAATATATAATTATTTTATTCTAAAAGGTTAAAAGTGTATTTCAAATAATTTTTCTTAATTCTCTAGGTATGGTTAAGACGTATAAAAAAAATTACTGAATTGTAAATTTTATTAAAAATTTACTATACGTCTTCCAACATAATATAAATTATTTACTATAAATATTTTTTTAACATTATAGAACCAATTTATTTAGAATAAAATAATTAAAATAATTTTTTAAAGGAACCAATCAATTATTCAAATACTGTTTTTTATACTAATATATATATATCCATAAAGAAGAATGATTTATATTTTTTTAAGTAGAGAATTTATAACAACATTAGAAAAAATTAATTAAAAAAATATTATAATAAAAAAAATTAAATTTAAAATAATTTTATTTTATCGGATCCGTAGCGTAACGCAAGCAATCGACAAATATTATACTATACTTGCTGTGTTTACTGTTAATATAACTCAAGATACATTGCACCTAAAAAAAACTCTTTTTTATTTATTATTATACTCTTTATTGTTGTTGTTGTTGGCAACAAATAGTGATTATTTGTCATGCAACAATCATGTGAAACGAATTCCTTCCTTGTCAAATAAGAAATAAGTGAAAGAACTCATTGAATTACTTAACTTTATGGTAACAAAATAGTAATAATCACTAAAAATTATCTAATTTAATTGTGTATTACAAAATAGCAGTATTAAAAAAAATACAATATTAAAAATTTTAACTAAATAAATATTTTTAAATATATATATATATATATATATAGAAAAAATATAATTTTTTTAAAACAAACCAGTAGTAGTTAATAATGTTGCATGTCCCTTTTCCCTCCTAATCTCCTATACATAAAAAGCCATGGACGCTTCGAATCTGAAAAGTTGAAATTGTATCTCGGAATTTGGTGGTGGGTCTCTAACAAGACGTTTAAAATGCATGCATGTCATGCAATTCAGCGTAACCAACACAATAATTTTGACTAGCTCCATTGTTTGAGTGTACATACCGAAAAAGCCAAAGAATGCAACAAACAGTTACGAAAGCGTGTGGAACTCTCTCTTGGGGAACAGAGATGGCGTGTTATTGCCTATTGGGATTGGTGACGATGATAGTTTTGTATTGCAAATATAATTATAAAAATGGTTGTGGTTGTCGTTATAGTGGATAGTATATTATGATAATAAAATAATATTTACAAAAATTGATATTATGAATATATTGACTTACGTATAGCTGTTAATAAATTTATTTTAATTTATATATTTTTATAATTTTATTAATTAAATATGATAATATCTCTAATAGTTTAATATCATATAACAATAATTGAATTTACTATAAAAAAAAGTTAATAATTCTTTTGATAGTTTAATATCACACAAATAATAATAATATACAAAGCTTTTGTGAAAGAAATGATAACAATAATAGAATTAAAGAGAAAAATTATTAGAAAATAAATTCATTATAAAATAACATGAATACAAAAGATAACGACTTCAAATAATTCTCTCAATCTCTACAAAATACCGATATATAAACTAAATGAACAATCAAACCTATTTATAGGCTTTAAAAATAGAAAGAGAATTGAAAGAGACTATGAATAATTAAAATACATAAATTATTGAATCAATTGTATCACCTTTTTAATTTCTCATATTAAATGATGAATTAAATCACATTACGAATTATGAGTCATTGGGATAAGAAAAGTGTATGAACATTCATATGGACATTTATTATTTCATAAGACTCCCCTTGAATGTCCATTGTACAAAGAATATGCCTCATTAAAAACTTATCGAAAAAAACCCACTTGGAAAGAAATCGTAGTGAAGGAAAAATACTACAATATTCATTGTACTCATTAATCTCTATGTTGGGCTCCCCTTATTGAAAACATCATTTAAGATCTTTAAGACGATGCATCTTAGTCTTGTGCATCATTTTCTCAAAAATTATGGTAAGTAATGCCTTAGCGAATAAGTGCGTCGGATTGTCACTTTGATGTATTCTTTCTTTAATTGAATTATGCAAGCATCATTATCTTCATATGATATTGTTGAAACTTCTTTACTAGTAGATAAACCACATGTCTCTCGGATATGATGGGTCATTGATCTTAGCTAAATGCATTCTTGACTTACTATATGAATTAGTATTTACGCGTGATTTGAATATCTAGCGAGTTATAGTTTACTTCATAGAATATCATGATATACATGTATCACAATGTGTAAATACATAACTCATTTGTGATTAAGTTTTGTATGGATTAGATAAATAACATATATTTGTATAACCAATTAAACTCGACTTTGATTTATTTGAGTAAAATAAATGTCATATCAATTTTTCCTAGGAGATAATGTAGTAAATATTTAATTTCATTCCAATGTCTTTGTATTGGAGTAGAACTATGTCTTGCTAATAAATTTATAGAAAAGGCTATATCGAGTCGAGTATTATGAGTAAGATATATCAATGCACTAATTGCATTAAGATATAATACTTCAAGATCAAGTAATACTTTGTTATCTTTTCGAGGCTAAAAATAGATCTTTTTGGATATCAAGTGAACAAACGACTATTAGGTTAATAAATGGATGAGCTTTATATAGAATCATTATAGAACTCTTTTTTTATATATAAATTGACTGATGAATAAAAATCTCATTTTCTAAGTGCTCGAACTATAGGTTAAAGATAAAAGGATTTTTTTCCAAGGTATTTCATATCAAATTC